AAGCTGAAACAACGGAATATCCTTCCACAAGGCAACGACAATAGTCAAATCAACTACGCTGGGAGAAGCATCCCGTACCACCTCTGTAGTACTTTTAAAATTTCTAAATTCCTGATTCATAACAAGCGCTTCGCATCGCATAAGATCGATTGGGAAGGAAACAAAGGCATAAGCCTCAAAGGAATCAAATCGCACGATGAAGAAATCAAGAAGGGAAGCCAAACAGCCCTGTAGCCTCCCGAAGATAAGTACAGACATCTCCGTACCGATCCGCGAGACTCTACTAGGCTTGCCCATGACTCGTGAGACCTACGGGAACCTAGTGCTCTGATGCCATGTTGTCACGACCAGAAATCCACTAAGAGTCGTGATGGCGCCGGACACCATTGTCAGGCAAGCCAACACCAATTAATTAGTAACTTCTTGTTTTAGGTAACTCTGAATTTACTTCTTTTATATATTTAAATAATAAAGAATAAGTTCCACTGAATAAATAAAATATCCTTAACAATTTCAAATACTGAATAATCCCATAGACATCACAGGACCCGTTGTCACAAGTGCATGAGCAATTACTAAGAGGATCGAATAAAGTACAATCACTGTCCGGAATACAAATTGGACAGAAGTAAATACAATACGTTGAAGGAGACTATACTGGCTGCGGGTCACCTCGAGGAATTCAGCTCACCTAGTCTCCGTATCATCCATGCTGCTACGCCCAGTAGGCCGCTAGAAATACCTGTACCTGTGCAACAAAATGCACAGCAAGTGTAGCATGAGTACGAAGACAACATGTACTCAGTAAGTATCCCGCCTAATCTCGAAGAAGTAGAGACGAGAGGTCGACTTCGACACTTACTAGTGGTCCAATAATGATAAATCGATAATAGAACAAATTGAGAATTTACATAAGCATGATTGTAATTCAATAAAGTGAAGCAAGTAAACAATTCTTTCTTTTATAGGAAATTCCCAAATCCCTTTTTCATCATTTATACATTTATTCTCAAACCGGGAAGAAACAATATCACTTCAATAAATTTCAAGGCAAGCAATACAAGCATGCGCAAATCATGCCGAGGACGTACGGCCCGATCCAACAATATTAAAACTGTGCACTGCCAGAGGATCGAATGGCGCGAACAATAGATACATCTATTACCCCGCTCGCGAATCATACATGTGACGCGGTCAAATTTAAATAAACACTCCAAACAGTCAATCAAGAAACCTTCAGGGAATCAATCATCCAATAAAAGGAAAACTCTCTTTTTAAAAGTCAAGAAACGAATGTCTAGTTTTTATAAATTCTTTTATACATTTCAATATGTTTTAAGCATTTCAATTTGACAACGAGATTTCAAATATTACAAGTAAAACATGCTTTTGGGTCCTAGACTACCCGTACATAAGCATAATAGTAGGTACGCACGGACTCTCGTCACCTCGTCACCTCGTGCGTACGTAGCCCCCACAAATAGGAGCACATAACCAATTAACTCACCTATGGGGACAATTCCCTCTTACAAAGTTAGAAAGGAGACTCACCTCGCTCCGAAGTTCCATAACCGGCTTTCCACGCCCTTCCGAAGACTTAAATTGATGCACAATGCTCCAAAACTAGCCAATAATTGCGCAAATTCATTAATATATGTTCAATTACTCATAATAATCCAATTTATAACAATTCCTAACCCCGATTGAAAAGTTGACAAAAACTCCCTCGGGCCCACATACCCGGATTCCGAAATTTTTCGAAGATAAACTTTACCCACGACCTCACGAACTCAAATATATAATTTACTCTTAATTTCATGTCCAAAATCGTGGTCAAAATCTATGAATACTAATTTTTTAGGTTTTCCCTCAAACCCCAAGTTTTTCACTAATTTTCATGTTAAAATCTACACATAATCAATGTATTTAACTCATAATAGGTAGGATTAACTTACCTCCAAGTTGCTAGGTGGAAGCCCCTCTCAAGAAGCTCCAAAATCACCCAAAATAGAGAAAAATGAGCAAAATGGCCAAACCCCGCTACTTAATGCATTCTGCCCAGCAACTTCCGCACCTGCGGACCCCTCGCCGCTTCTGCGGAAGCCCATCGCACCTGCGCCAATAACCGCTTCTGCTGTCTTCCTTCTCGCCTCTGCGCATGCGTAGATACGGTCATTGCCCCGCACCTGCGGCCCTTCACCTGGGCGGCCATCTTCCGCTTCTGCGCCTCCTAGGCCGCTCCTGCGGCTCCGCACCTGCGGCCCAAGCCTCGCAGGTGTGGTTACACCAGAAGGCAGCTGATCACTTCTTCATTAAATTGCAAATTTGATCCGTTAATCATCCGAAATCCACCTAAGGCCCTCAGGACCCTAACCAATCATGCCAACCAGTCCCAAAACACATTACGGACTCGCTCGAGGCGTCAAATCATATCAAACAACGCTAATAACACGAATCACACCCCAAATCAAACTTGGTGAACTTGAGAAATTTAAATTTCAACATTCGACGCCGAAACCTATCAAATCACATCCAATTGACCTTAAATTTTGCACACAAGTCATATTCGACATTAGGGACCTACTCCAACTTCCGGAATCGGAATCCGACCCCGATATCAAAAAGTCAACTCTCGGTCTAACTTCTCAAAAACCTTCAAATTTCTATCTTTAGCCAAATGACTCCAAAATGACCCACGGACCTCCGAAGTCACTTCCGATCGTGCTCCCAACACCAGAATCACCACACTGAGCTATTCCCAGACTCGGAACCCCAAACGGACATCGATAACACTGAAATGCACTTCAACCCAAACTTATGAAATTCTTCCAAAAATGCTAACTTCCACAATAGGTGCCGAAACGCTCCCGGGTCTTCCAAAACCCGATCCGGACATACGCCCAAGTCCGAAATCATCATACCAACCTGCTGGAACCTTCGAATCCCGATTCCGAGGTCGTTTATTCAAGAATCCAATATTAGTCAATGCTTTCAACTTAAAGCTTCCGAAATGAGAATTCTCTTTCCAAATCAACTCCGAACTTCCCGAAATTCAATTCCGAACATGCGTACAAGTCATAATACCTGAAGTGAAGCTGCTCATGACCTCAAACTGCTGAACGGCGCGCTAGAGCTCAAAACGACCGGTCGGGTCGTTACAAAAGAAATAAGGAATTAGGGAAATCTTTTTTGAGAGAGAATGGGAATAGATAAATAAGGGTCGAAACTAGGTCCTAAATTTAAGGGTCATTAATTATTTTTTGGCCTCTTTCTTGTGGTCCAAAATAAGTGACTTTTTTAGATTTCAAGAATGAATTAATTATTTTTTTCCCTACACTGCCCTTGGAGTAAATAGAGTTGGAGTATGTGTTAGGAGTATTTATGTGAAGATATAGTAAAGGTTAATATGGTCAATTTCATTGCTAATTAATGTTAAAAAGTGAATTTCTTAATCTGTATAAAAATAGCTAAAAAATCACTTATTTTGGACCGGAGGGAGTAGCAATTAGAGAATGCAATGAATAGAACACAATTAGTGACTGCAATTTATGATAGCAATTAGTTAATGCTATTAGAAAAATGAGAATGCGATTTATTAAAAAAAATGTGAATTATTAATCGCATGCGATTATATAGAGATACAAAAAAACTTTACTGTAACACGTCTACCCGCACGTACACATGCCAATTAAATCATATGGTGTATGATTTGCTTTAGAAGGCAACAAGATTAAAATTCCAAAAGTATATCCTCTTTAACTCCTGTTATTAGAACTCAAACTCGAACTCGAATTACATAATCCAAAGAACAGACACATTAATTTACAAGGAGCACTGGGACATTAAAATGTTAGTAGCTAGCAATTTGTAAACTTTAAATTGGATCATTTTGAAATAAACCTACTCCTAGATCTGCGGTTAGCAATTTCATATTGCTCCATCTTGGTAGTCATGAAGGGCAGTTGAATAGAGGTCCCATTGATGCAATGTGAAAAACTGTTGTTTTCCTTCATCATATATTAGCTGAGAAATCTTACTGTGTAACTGCACAAGTTCCTCGCAGTAAGTTATTTATAACTATGAATTAAATGAATCCTTAAAGTCAAAAAATGATGGATTAATCTATTAATATCATGTGTCCTGAAAAGTCCTGATTTTGCCAATTAATATTCTAGTTTGGTAAACGTGCATTGCTACTATATATGACTGCTTTGAATTTAATTGGCATATTTATTCTAAAAATTGGTATACAAACATTCTGTGCCATGCCATCATGATCCACAAAGAGTGTTTCATCACTACTATTTAGAGCTTGTTGGATTAAAAGAATTAAATGGCCCAACTCCTACAGGCCCAAGGATTGCTGAAAAAGAAATAGATCCAGGCCAAAACACTTGATAATTGTACAAAGTTATGTAAATGTTATTTGTATACTTAGCCACATATGTAATAGATAGCCATTCTTTTATTAGCTTAGCCATTCTTTTATTAGCTTAGTATAAATACTCCATTAGGCTATTTTTGTATACACAGATATTATTCTTTCAATATACAGAAATGAATTTCTGCATCTTCTTCTCTCTAGAACATTCGAATTAGGGCTTCCTTCTGTAAAATCCATGAATTCTCATTCGATTGCTTCAATCTAACATGGTATCAGAGCGAATCCTGGAGACTATTACTCTATTCTGAATATTCATCGGAGAGTTTTGTCGAGAATCATCGATTTCTGCCTCTCCGACGATTCTGACGAGATTTGTGGTTTTGCTCGATTTTGTCTTCTCATCTGGGTTCCTTTGCTCGAGCTCTTCAATTGATAGCTAATTGTGGAATTTCTCAACTTTTGTTCATGGATTTCACATCAAATGAGTTCATGAAGATCGACTCGGAAACTAGGGTTTATGTCATCATCAATCTTCGCATGCGGTGACTTTCTTCCAACCCTATCTTCTTGAGTTTCCTTTCTTATTGATTAGCTGAGACATTTAGCTGTAGAAATCATGACTTTGAACAACGATTCTGCTGAACATTCTGGTGCTTTGATAGTACCAGCTCTAGATCTTTTTCATCCCCTTTATCTTCACCCTTCTGATATTCCAGGAACCATGCTAGTGTCCGTTCCATTTTCTGGGACTGGATTTGGTGACTGGAAGGAATGGATGCTTATTTCTTTGTCGGCAATGAACAAGGTTCAATTAATCGATGGTTCTCTGATTCACCCTACAACCAATTCTCCTCTATATCCTCATTGGCAGCGCTGTAATAATATGGTTAAGTCTTGGATAATGAATTCCCTATCTAAGGATATAGCCAAAACAATTCTCTACTATAAAACCGCTAGAGAAGCCTGGAATAACCATATAGAAAGATATGGTGTTGCAAATATTTCTCAGTATTATAGTCTTCAACAATCTATTTCTTCCACATCCCAAGGTTCATGTGACATTGCCACTTATTACACCAAACTCAAGGGATATTGGGATGAAATATATACAATTTCCTTAGGAAGATCCTGTACTTGTGGTGCTATACATGAGTTCAGTGAGGCACAGAAGCTAATTTAATTTCTATCAGGATTAAATGAAACATATTCCACTGTTAAAAGTAACATCCTAATGATGAGTCCTGTTCCAAGTGTGGAGAAGGCATACTCTATTCTGATTAGGGATGAGAAACAAAGGGAAATCAATTCTGCTTCTCAGCCTTTCTCTTCTGATTCTACTTCCTTCATAGCTAACTCTAATTCCAATTCTACTCATAACCAACCAAATACCACCAGAAAATATACTCAGAGGGTGAATTTTGAACCTAGAAGAGGTACAATATCTTGCAAATATTGCAAAAAGCCTGGCCATACTATAGAAAAGTGTTACAAACTACATGGCTTTCCTCAAGATTTCTAGTTTACCAAGGGAAGAAAAGCTGCTGCATGTGTACAGATTGAGTCCTCAGAACAGACCTCAACTAAGCCTGATTCACCTCAAAATGAAGACATTCCACATGGCTTCTCTAAGGAACAATATGTCCACCTTATGTCTCTATTCCATCAGATGCAGGCATCTTCTACAAATCAGCAGTCTACATCCCAAGAATCTCCAATATATGCAAATTTTGCAGGTTGGCACAACAATCCTACTAGTAGGTTATATGGTTATCTTGTATGCCATGCTAGTCATAACAATTTTAGTTCTTGGATCCTAGATTCAGGAGCAACCAATCATATGACACCTCATAAACATCTTCTTCATGATATACAACCTTTAATTTCTCCTTCTCTAGTTACCTTACCAAATGGATATAAAGTAAAAGTTACTTCTTTTGAATGCCTTTCCTTATCACCTAGTATCATTCTAACTAATGTGCTGCTGGTACCCTCTTTCCATTACAACTTAATCTCTATACATCAACTTCTTTCTCAACTCAAGTGTTATGTACTCCTTACTAACATTTCATGTTGGTTATAAGGCCCTTCTCTGAAGAGGCCACTGGAAATTGGTAAGGTTGAGCATGGACTGTATTGTCACGACCCAAACCGAAGGGCCGCGACGGGCACCCGGTGCCTTACTCAACCGAGTACCAATGTAACATATCTTTCTTATCATACTATCATGGGTAAATGATCTAGAAAACCCTTCATGAGATAACAAGAATAAAATATAAGGGAATACTTAACGTATGATGACCCAGCATGATATACAAACTTATACATGTGACATACGGGCCTATAAGGCCGACATGACCATTTGTAAACTCAAAACATAGGCCGACAAGGCCATACAAGTATCCATACACCTGACATCTGTCTACAAGCCTCTAAGAGTACATAAAATTATAAAGGTCGGGACAGGGCCCCGCTGTACCAATCAATACATATCCAAAGCATACTGACCAAATAGGAATGTCAACCTGTCTATCGGGACCTGCGGGCATGAAACGCAGCATCCCCAGGCAAAAGGGACGTCAGTACGAATAAAGTACCGAGTATGTAAGGCAGGAAAGCATAAATAAGAACAGTAATGTAAAGAGAGATAGAGGAGATACAACCTGTAACATCTGAGTGCCTCTGGGGGCTACTGACATGAAATGCATAATACATATATATATACATAAACTTTTAAAAACATACGCCTCTGTGGGCATCATCATCATCATATCATACCCGGCCTCAAAGAGGACTCGGTAAAAACGTACCCGGCCACGTGGAGCTCGGTAAACCCAACTGATCAGTGGTTGCACAATAGGTGCCATACCCGGCCGACTATAGCGCGGCTCGGTAGAGTAAAATAGATACATATATATAATGTATGCTCGACTCATGGAATCAAGTTCTAAACCTTTTGGAGTGACTTAAGAATATTATGGACATCCCTACCATCAATATGAACCTTAGTAGGATTTAAGGATCATACCACTTGTTTAGAATAACTTTATAAGGAAAGAACAACATGGACAACCTTAGTTTCTAGGAGTAGATCCATTATGAATTAGCATACCATTTATGTTCATGTCACTTTAGATCATGCCAAAAGAAAGAAGTAAGAGCCTTAACATACCTTGTATATACTTCCGCAATCTCAAGCTATGCAATTTTCACGACTCCTTAGTCTACAATAAGAGAAACGATACTGTAGTTATCATTCAAGCGTCATAACTATTATGTATCGACCACAACCTATTTTATGATGAAATGGACAGCACCTCCCCTATATATATGACTTCACACAATTCCAAACAATCACCAAACAGCCCAAACAACATCAATAATAATCATATTGAGCCTCCCAAAACAGTCCACGCACAACCTAATCACTTCATACATACGACGGCCACCGTAGTCGTGTCAAACGACCAAGAAATGTTACGAAGAACTACCAGCCCACAACCCTACATCTATATGGTGTTTTTCCACATCCTTCCTCCTCCAAAACTCCACAAAACAGTAGTAAAACACGCAGCCCAACAGCAACACAAAACAGTCCACAAAACAGTCCGCTACAAGTGAATAACTCGAACTCACGGCTTTCGATTACCGTCCCGTGAGTTCTTACATGTATAGAACGAATTACCATGAATTCACAGAAGAATAAATGTATGAAAAAGATCAGTAAACTCGCCTTACTTGTTGGATAACTCAGCCCTTCCCTTGGTTCTTCAAACTCTAGGTTTTACCCCCAATTAAAACTTGAAAGAGAGGGAAAATCGATTAGGGTTTGTGGATAATTTTTGGGAGGAAGTTTGCAGGGGTTTAGGTCTGGTTATTTGTGATATATAATGAGGGTTATATTGCAGGAGATAACCCTTTAAATGGGCTCTTTTGCCGACCCGAAATTTCCTATTTTTGGGCTATCATTTAACCAAGTAGGTGACACACCTACTTGTCACCTAGCAGCTTGTGCAGTCTCGCAAAAATACCTATATCTCTCTACTCTGATGTCTTATTGATGAACGGTTCAATGCGTTGGAAACTAGACTCATAGATCTTTAATTTGATAGGTAGATCATCCCCTAATTCCATGTATATTGGGAGAAAAACTCAGTTACATTTGACCTAATTTTCAGCACATTTATGAATGGAACTTGTGATGACCTTTTCCAACTTTTGTTCCACAACTCGCTTGACTTCAAAACATAACACCAACTATCGTACGACTAAAATAACTCATAATATAATCTCCTTATAATGTTAATAACCCTAGTATCACCCCAAAAGTACATGGTAAAATATTCCAACTTGTCGACTTTCGACGAAACTTATTTTCTTCAATTCGTTTAGCTTCTAAGCCTTCAAACCCTCTTGCTACTTGGTACTAATGATCATAAATATTTATAGCCTCCACATTAACATGATGAACTAACTTTGTAAACTTCTAAAAGATGATTCCCTTTCTGTCAATACTAGAATTCCTGTAAAAAGCGACCAAAGATTAGCGACCAAATTTGGTCTGTCAAAAAAAGCGACCAAAGTTGGTCGCCAAACTGCCGAAAATAATAAAAAAAATATTTGAAATACTTTAGCGACCAAAGTTGGTCGCTATTTGGCCGCAAATTTAGTCAAACTGTTGACTGGACTGGTCAGACTTGCTTGGTCAAAGATATACTGAGATTAGCGACCAATGTTGGTCGCTAAAGTGGTACCCACATAAATTTTTTTAATAATTTTATTATTATTTTATAAAACTTATAAAATATAAATATATATAATTTAAAACTTGCGACTAAAGTTGGTCGCTAACTGAAGGATAAGTTGATAGCGACCAACATTGGTCGCTAAAGTGGGACCCAGTTATTATATTTTAATAAATATATATTTATTTAAAATAAATATAATTCAAAAGTTAGCGACCAAAGTTGGTCGCTTAATGAAATAGAGACCAATGTTGGTCGCCAAGGTGGGACCCAGTTCTAACATTTAATAATTTTTATTATTAATTTAAATATTATATAAAATATAAATAAATCTGATTAAAATTTAGTGACCAAATTTGGTCGCTAAATTTAATTCATGTACAGTCAGTGACCAACTTTGGTCGCTAAATTAAATTCATTTACAGTTAGCGACCAAAGTTGGTCTCTATATGGTCAAAATTAAAATCACTTTTGTATTTACTATGTAAATAATATAAATGTAAGTCGTTAATACTTTTGTAATACAAGGGATGAATAGTACTACGAAGTGGGCGTGTGTGTCTATATATATAATATATATATACTTACACTATATTATGCACTAAGTATAAGTGTATTAGGTAATAGCGTATCGAATATAGCTCATATATATATAATATATGTACTTACGCTATACTATGCACTAAGTATAAGTGTATTAGGTAATACCGTATCGAATATAGCTTATATATATAAAATATATGTACTTACGCTATACTATGCACTAAGTATAAGTGTATTAGGTAATACCGTATCGAATATAGCTTATATATATATATATATATATATATAATATATGTACTTACGCTATACTATGCACTAAGTATAAGTGTATTAGGTAATACCGTATCGAATACAGCTCATATATATATAATATATGTACTTACGCTATA